TAAAGACATGCATCTATATAACAAAAAAATTATACTGATTTGTTCATTTTTGATAAAGTTATAACAGTTAACAAAGTTAACACACAACAAAAATTATAAAAATAATAAAGTAGTTGTATATTCCTTTACTTTTAACGTGTATAAAAATATAAAGAGATTGATGCAATACTTTTTGATAAAAAATATTTGTTACTTATGAATAAATACACTGGACTACATGAATTTACATCAGAAACAAAAATATCTTTTTTAAATCAACTTTTTGCGATGTTTTAAATGTGCAATTAGAGTTTTTCTATCTAAATTTTAATATTATTACTTATTATTAAGAAATAATTAAGAAAAAAAAAATTGTTTTAAATTAATACTGATTTTGATTATTAATATATTAAAAATAAGGAAATGACATATTTAACCTATTTTTTTTAATCTTTTAAAGTTAAATTGTGTAAAAGTTTATAGTGAAAAAAAAAAAATTATTTATTACCATAACTTTTAGCTCAATTTGCAAGTTTAAAATTGACATCATTAAATAGAAAATTTTATGAGAATTAAAAAAATCAGTCAGGAAATTTTATTATTGCTATTTATAGTAAATTTATCAGAGTAGCTCAATATTTTTTTGCATTTATATCGTAATAGATAACTTAAATACAAATAATAGTTATCATTTCCTAGTAACTTTTGGCGTTTAAAAATATTCCACAATTGAAATATGAACTGAATCAATTTTAATGATTTACTTTAACTAAAATAACCAATAAAAAAAAAAAAATCATAGTAAAATTAATACTTTCTCTTCGCATCGAAGCTAAAAAAGTAGTTAAAAAGATCTACTCAATAGCGTACTATAAAATTTGATTATAATTGTAAAAATCCATTATTAATTCAGGACACAATTAATAATACATTACACGTTATTTATTAATATTAATACAAATGAATAGAATGATATAGAATGAGTGTAACTAGCGCATACTAAACCACGACTGACTGTAGGGTACCTACAGTGGGAGTCCTTTGCCCATGGTTGCCCTAAAACCTTTGGTCAGTACATTCCTGTGTTCGACGACAGTCGGACGACCATGTATTCTATACTCTACTCAATTATAAAATAATATTTAGGGGTTCTTAACACCCCCCAACCTAAATGAGCAATGGGGGTTTAATGATTCCCATTGACTCAAGGGAAATCAGATAAATAAAGTTATATAATTGCAAAGGGATTTAGAATGTTTTTCTTATTGTCGAATTATATAATTTAAAATAGAGAGATTCAGAGTTGAGCATTAGTAATTTCAGTCGTATATACTTGAATTACTTTTTTCTTACACTTAAAGAATACAGCGACAATTATAATTAATATGATACAAATTGACAAACAAGTATATATGATTACAATATGATAATGACTTAGTAAAAAATTATTGCTATTTGGATTTGTATACCAATTTGTAGTATGTTTAACTAATTTACAAAGATCGTTGAATAAATCGGTATTTGTTATTTGTTGCGGAGTTACCTTAATAATGGATTCTGTGTACGTGTTAATTAAGTTAAACATAGGATTCAGAGGGACTATATCATTAGAATGGTTGTAGAGTACAGTTGAAATGGGCGTTAGAATTAACGAAGTGATATAAACAGTACAAGTGGGAGATATTGTTAAACGACCAATATTTTTTATATAAACAGAAAAGAATCGTTGAGGAGATTTACAATTCAGAGCCACAAGTTCGTCTCGCGTACAATAAATTCAGGAATTGGTATTCGATAACCGATTCCATATACTGTTATTAAATGATACATAAATGACTTTGCATGATTGAGGTAAATCTTGTGGATTTTCTAACAATAAAATCTCACATAGCTTAGAAGAAGATTTACGATAAACTGGATGATTACCTTTACATAATTTATATCAGTTAAGTGGTATACATGTTTCTATTTGCGATTGACTAAAAGTTAAATAAAACTCACTATCATCGCTAATTGCTATATAATCGTTGTCTGGTTTTACTAGAACAACATTATTGTTTTCAAAATAGAATGGTAAAGGTATCGTGTGATAGAGATTATATTCATCGATTTTAACTATTGGACATTGCAATATAAAAATGAGAAAGTTATCTCTATANAACATCGCAATATAAAAATGAGAAAGTTATCTCTATAAATTATGGATGTAGAAGAGATTGAAAGGAGTTCGGGAATATTTTGTATATTAATTTCTAACGGAAGTTGATTGCCAGCGGGAAGTTCTAGCTGTATTTCCCGTAGCTGAGATAGTAACTTGTTAGGAGGCAAAACTGTGGTGTGNCTGTTAGAAGGAAAAACTGTGGTGTGAATTTTGCCATGGATAGCAGAGTTGATAATAGAAACAATATTTTGCGTTTCGTACGCATACTGATTTAGAAGGATTTGGAATAACGTTGATTGCTCTAACAAAGCTGTTTTCGTGATTAGACTGTTGATAGTTTGAGAATTCTTTATGACTTGGTTATTAAGATATTGAATATTTTTTTCGATTTCGACTTGANTTTATATCTATTTTTTGTGTGTTGTCCTCACGAAGTCCTAAAATTATGCTTTGGCTTCAATTTCAATATCTGGAAATACACTTTCATCCACTGCAAAGAGTCTTAGACCCCAAGCATTTACATGACGATTTTACAAGTCTAGAAAATATTTACCAATTGAATCTACCACTCATAATAAATGAAGAGTTATTTGATCTGTGAATAAACTTTTTTCATTTCTTTCATTAAGCACCATTGTTAGTGATGAAAACAATGAAATGTCTTCAACTTCAGCTCTACGTTGGTAAAGTTACAATTTATGAAGAAAACTGGCAACCTTATCTTGGGCAGTTAAAATATACATGTAACACCTTGCTTCACGACAACCAACGCACCTCTGCGTGAAACAACAAGACGTCGAATTTCCCTCCCAGTTCATTACACAAGTCCTTGAAAACTCTTGTATTTTTGTCACACTGCTTCGGATGTAGTTTACAATTTTCACTACCTCAGTAAATGTGTCCAATAAATCAGGTGAAAAAGTTTTTACTACCGAAGCATAACGGTATATTATGCAGTGGCTAAATAATTCAAACGGAGCGACTTCTTTCATTAATGTTTGGAAACCAGAACGAATGCCCAACATAGCTGGTGCTCCATCTGTACAGACTCCTATTAACTTCGACCAATGTAGCTCCATTTTATCGACAACATTTTTCACCATTTGAAAAACATCTTCCCCACGTGTAGTAGTGCTCAATGAATCTGAGAATAAGTATTCTTCTTTTAAATCATCGCATTTTATGTATCGAACATAGACAAGTAGCTGGGAATGAGATGCAACATCGGTCGACTTATCTAACTGTAACTTGATTTTATTTCATTGAGCACCGTGTCCAAAATATTTTCGCTCATATCCTTAATACAATTTTTGATAGTGTTGTTAGAAAGTATATATCTTATTTATCTTTTCGACATGTTGCTCTTCAAGAACGAGCTTAACTGCATCTAGTATACAAGAGGCTTGACGAGGTTCTTTCCAATTGAATGAGGTTTCTTGATTTTCGCAATTCTAAGAGCGAAGCAATACGACGTTTCAAGACCAGCTTCAGTTGACTCAAAAAAGTAGTCGGATGAATCCATACGTGCATTTTTTAACGCAGTTTCTTTACGTTTGGAAAATGCAATATCTTTTTCTGCAAACTGAGAATGACTTCTCTCAAAATGTTTTTTTAATTTGCTTGGTTTCATACTTTCTACTATAAGCACTTTGTTGCACAGAACACATTGAGGGTTCTCAACACTTTTATCAACAAACTTAATAAAATCACATTGTAGAAAAGCTTCTTTGTATGAGCGTTTTTTTCCCTGTGACATGGTTCCTGATTCAAAGAAAAATTGTAAAAAACCAACATAAAAAGAATGAAATTATTTCACTAACCTGCTTTTGCTTCACGACCAATTTATTAGAAAATTGCCAATATTGTTCGTTAGTAAGTGAATAGCAGATACAAGTACAGTGTTTTATATTAATAAACGAACGGTGAACGACTAAAAGTCGTTTCACACAATCGGTGGTCAAAGTTTATCGGTGGGAAAAACCATTAAGATAAGTTATTATAAGATAAAATAAACTATTAACAATAATTCTATTATTACAAAATTACTTTTGCACTCGTAGTACACATAACTGATAAATATATAATAATAATAGATATTTAGTACATAAAACAAAAGTTAATAGTTAATAGTTAAAACTTTACCCCTCAATAAATCGTATTTTACGCCTTGGGGGATAATTACCCCCAGGTTGGGAACCGCTGTATTACAGTATAACATCTATTAAATGGATTGTTGGTAAATTTATTTATTTTTTTGTGAAATTTATACCAATGAGCTGCCTTATAATATTAAACATTAATAAAAGTAAATGTTTAAAAAAGTAGTATACTAATTTTTATCATAATTAATATTTTTAATTATTATTCTTCATTATTTACTATCAACAAATTTTAATTTAGTTTGTAATAAATGTCACATGTAATAAAATTATTACATTCCACTCACAAATGTGATTTCAACATTGTTTTTTATAAATTGAATTTATAAAAAAATATAATGTGTCAATTTGTATTCTATATAAACATAAATTAACATATATTACTATTGGCTATTAATAATAATGTTCACTAATTTTCATTTATAAATACTGCAAATTGTTGTATAATAATACTAAAAATCAAAATTCGATTTTTTTGTTAACATAAAATAAAAAATTTTAATTGGTATAAAATACTCATTTCCTAAGTGGAACTTAATATGAGAAAAAACTCAATAAAGTTATTGGATCATTATTGTAATTTATATCTTATAATTTTTATATTTATTAGTCTAATAAAACAATAACACCATTATTTATAAAATACAGATAATGTGATTCAAGACTTAATTTCACCTGATCAAAAAAATATCATGAAAGGTATGGAGGAAGCTAGAGATATATTACACAAATTCAATGTAAATTGGAGTGTCTATAGTCAACAATCAGACATTAGTAACATTAATATCTATATTTAGGAAAAAAAATTTATATTTTATACTCTTTATATGCAAATGTTATTTATGATCACTTTTCAATCATAAAATAATAAATAAAAAATAATTTTTCAAAAACATTTATAGGCACTTTTTATTTGAATCTTTCAGAAGAACAACACACATTTGATTCATTTTCACGCTTTCGCGAAAATCCAGAGCACTTGAAAAAACGTTCTACATTTTTTAAAATACAGGGAAATAATGAGTTTAAATTGCGTAATTTTGAACTGGCTTTATGTTATTATAATCAAGTAAATAATTATTAAAATAATATCATATTTTTCTTTTATTAAATATACATGTAAAAATGTATATAACTTCCAAAATAATGGTTCAAAGGTTGTAATTGACTGGTCTTTTTCATTTGACATTTTCTTAGATGGATTATTTTCTAATATTTAAACTAGTAAAATGTGAATGTTTACATTAAAAATAAAAGTTAGTAAAAAAGTTAAAATATAAAAAAAATATTTAACGAAAAAAGCATTTAATCTCTTATAGAGATATTCTTATAAATTAATAAATAACCAATTAAATAAGTGTTAATAAGCCGTTTTATAGTTCTTTTCTTATAATCAATTTAAATGAGTTTATCTTTTAAGGATTATATGTAATATGTATACTATATATCAGCGGTTCCCAAACTCGGGTCGTGACCCAAATTAGGGTAGCAGAAGTTTTCATTATGAGTCGCAAAAGCATATCTTACAGTTTACTTATTATATTTTATTATATTATAATTATAATTTTGAAAAAAAAAAATTCTCGAAATATTCTGATAGTAAAATTATCATAGAAGAAAATAATTTTAAATACCTATGTAAATAGATTGACGCGGGCTGTGCGCGGTCGTACCCTCATAGCGTGGTGTAATTAGGTACTATACTAGTATACTACTATATGACGTAATAGGCAAGTTCTATTTTTGTTCATAATATATTCCCGGAACGTCAAGGCGTGGTTTGGTGTGTCCTTATCGTAGTTTCGTATAAAATGTATACATATTATATGTACACTATAAATATAATATGAACGACGTACGTCTGGACGTAAATAAGTATTGATAATTTACTAATATTGTGTAATTTTATATTCTAATTTAATATTCAAGTGATTTAACTTTTTGTAGTGGCTAAGCACGCGTTACCGTATAAAGATGATTTTTTAAAGTTTGGTTTTACAGGAATAAAAGATCGATCGGGATTAGTACGTCCTCAATGTGTATTCTGCTTGCAAGTTTTGTCTAATGAATCAATGAATGAAATAAACTCAAGTGACATCTCAACACTTCTCCCCACATAGATAAATAAACAATTACAATTTGGGAAGGAACATAAAAATAAAATAAAATGTGTGCGTCTTGATTGTCCGTCCAATACACTTATAGTTTCACTATAAAAAACAACAAAAGCATCATTTAACGTTGCTTAGAAAATCGCACGCTCTATAAAGGCCCATAACATTGGATACGAACTGATTAAACCAGCAGCTATTTCTATGATTAGAACGGTCTGCGGAGATGACATTGCTAAAAAACTATAATTAATCCCACTTTCGGATAACACTGTTAAACGAAGAAAAGACCTTATGTCTAAAAATATTTTAAAACAGCTAGTTCATCAAATGATTGCAGCTAATAAATTTTCAATACAAATTGATGAATCTGTTGATATTCAAAATAACATACAATTGATGGTATTCATACGTTATCGAAGTACTGATGACTTTTGTGAAGAATTTTTATATTGTGAATCTCTTACAACGGCGACTAGCTTAGATATTTTTATTAAAGTTGATGGATTTTTCCGGAAAAATAATCTAGCTTGGTGTAATTGCGTAGGTATCTGTTCGGACAGTACACTGTCAATGCTTGGGAATCAAATAGGATTTTGTAAACGAGTTCAGGAAGTTATTTCAAAGGTTGTCATTATTCATTTGTTTTTTACATCGTGAAAATTTAGCAACCAGAGCAATTCAGTAAGAACTTTATTTAGTACTTCAAGACGTAATTCAAATTGTCAATTTTATAAAAACTAGAGCACTAAATTCAAGAATATTACATGCCATGTGTGATGAGATGGGATCACAGTACGTAAATTTACTTATCACTCGGATGTATGTTGGCTTTCCCGTGGAAAAATTCTTACCCGTGTTATGTCTTTTCGTTTAGTAATACAAATTTTTCTAACGAAAAAAAAAACACTCATTGGCTGAAAATTCAATGACGATTTGTGGGTTGCTAAATTGGCTTTTTAAGTGATATTTTTGGACGGTTGAATAAATTGAATATTGAAATGCAAGAAAAGAATAGGAAAGTGGTCGATATTGGCGAAAAAATCTCATCATTCAAACAAAAGTTCGAACTTTGACAGGAAAAATGGCCACATTTCCCAATTTCAGTGAATTTCTTAAAGACTTAACAAAGGTTACATTAAATGACTTAAAATTACTGCTTCAAGAGTATTTGAACAAATTACAGTTGGAACTCGATCGATATATACTAGAAAACGTAGAGCTCAGTAAATACAATTGGGTAAGAAATACTTTTGAAGTTTCTGATCACGAAGTTGGTGAAGACATTTGCGGGTTCCAAGAAGAACTTCTTGACCTAGCCAATCAAGTTTTAAAAGAAAATTTTTCAAAAAAGTGTTTGACGAAATTTTGGGCACAACTAAAAGATAAACCGATTTTATCAAGAGAATACGAAAATGTATTTCTACCATTCCCAACCACATACTTATGTAAAGCTGAGTTTTCTACGTTAATTTTCATCAAACCAAATATAGAAATCGCCTTGATGCTCAACACGATATGCGATGTGCAGTTTCAATGAATGTACATCCAAATATTGAGGAACTCATGGAATATGTTCAGCATCAAGAAAGTCATGAAGTAACAGTTAATACAATTATACAATGTCAAATTTGAAACAAATAATAAATTGCCTTTTATAATATTTTATGACATAAATCACATATTTTGTTCAGTTTTGTGCAGTTTTTTTTAAATTTATTTTATTTAGTATTTGAGGATAGATAAATGTACCTACATATGAGGGACGTCCAGAAAGTAAAGATATAAGGTCTACCAATAATACACTAAACCGTTTTATTAAAAAAAAATTATATAGCATTAAAGGTATAAATCTAATCATTTTTCGACATAATCGCCATTAAGTTCCAAACACTTTTGGTAACGTGGGATGAGTTTTTGTATACCGGAGTCGTATTCCGTTCGCGACACCTCCTGTAGCCATGTGGTTATGTAATGTTTGAGGTTCTCATCGTCGTCGAATCTTTTCTCTCCTAAAGCTTCCTTCAACTTGGTGAAGAGATGGTAATCGCTGGGAACCAAGTAAGGACTGTGAGGTGGGCGATTTCAACAAGTAATTCTTGTGTTGCTCGAGCAGTATGGGGGCGAGCGTTATCATGAAGAAGACACACTCCTTTTTTCAGCATTCCCCGTCTTTTATTCTTTATGGCACTTCTTAATTTTTTAAGGGTTTCACAATATGCTTGTGCATTAATGGCAGTTCCACGGACCATGTAATCGACTAGGATAACTAGTTGAAAGAGTTGTTCGGAATTTTTTGACACTGGGAGAATGTGTATGGCGCCACTGCATCGATTGTCTTTTGGTTTCTAGCGTCGTGTAAGAAATCCAAGTTTCATTTCCTGTCACTATACTGTCCAAAAATTCCTCTCCTTGTTCGTCATGACGTTCCAAAAACATTCTTCCTGCCTCAATCCTGTTCTGTTTGTGTTCTTCTGTGAGCATTTTTGGGACCCAACGAGCACTCAGTTTCCTGTAATCAAGTCGATTCGAGATTACTTCGTGCAGAAAAGATCGAGAAACGCCTGAAAACTTCTCGAGAAGTTCGTCGAGAGTCAAACGACGATCTTCACGGATGAATTGTTCGACTTTTTGGATAAAATTGTCGGTCACCAAAGACGGCCGGCCGCTCCTCTCCTCATTGTGCACACTCTTTCTTCCTTCTCGAAATTCTCGTACCCATTTGGTGACGTTTTGGCGATTCATAATATCTGGTCCATATGCTTTGACAAGTCGACGATGAATTTCAGTGAGAATGATTCCTTCTTGAGCGAGAAAACGGATCACACTTCTCACTTCACACTTTAAATATTCAGTAATAGAGGTGGCGGTAGCGCGCGATGACTCGCCCTTCGTGAAAACCTCTCACGGACAAAGAACGTAACGTACTAAAACCGTTCTGGTCTGAACTTGTTCGCGACATGTCATCGAAAGTTGCAGTAGTGCCAATATTCGAAAAAAAAATTCACTGTGGCCGTGGGGGGGCTTGTATCTTTACTTTCTGGACGTCCCTCGTATTAACCGATTTTGTGTTAATAAATGGAAGTGTTGTTTGCAATTATAATTTTTTTTTTGGTCCACAAGTTAAATATAAAAAACAAACTAGTTGGTGTTGTGGTACGCCCAGTAGGAACGACGTTCCTTCGACTATAATATTAAATTATTCCTTGTTCCATTCGATAGCACATGGTCAGATGATCAGTAGTTCCGCTCATATGATGACATCGAAAATTGAGTTCATTCGTAGATAGCCTCAAAAGACGAATACTTTTATAGTAATAGCTTTCGAGCACACCATATAGATGGGAAAAATTTGTAGCTAACGTTGGGAATTACTTTGATTAATATGTACATGTATGTTGCGCACTTAATGGTAATAACGGAATTTGCTAAAAAAATATTGAATGTTACATAATTTATATTTTTATGCTTTTTATTTGAATTTTTTTATTGACTTTTAAGCACGGTATTTTGAAAAAATTAAATTTCGTGACTTGACTTGTTTTGCATTTTTGAGAGTTAGGTCTCGCCGTAAACCCCTATTACATTCTAACCTGCTGTTGCAAAGAAACTTCGTTCCAAAAAGTAATTCAAAATATTCACTGGATCAAAAGTTATTAAAAATGTTAATAAAACCTAGTGAAACAACTGTATTCTATGTATCTCATGTTAATGGTTAAGCGCACATGTATTTTAAGTACAAATTTTGTGTAAAATGAGTTATTTATTAAAATAAACATTTTAAATTGTGTATTTTCGTGTGGACAAATGAGATATATAAAATAGTCATACTACGCATACATACTGGTCAGATGTTATATTTACTCTAGTATACCTCATATGTGATTTTTGAATGTCATTCCTGAAAAATGCATAAATGAGTACTTTAAACATGTTTTTGCTACATCGATGTATAGTATACAAAGTCCTATAACAATTTTTTTATGTACGTATAATCATATATATAAACTCTTGTATTATACAGGTTAAGTTCTTTTTTTTTAATTAGTTTACTAAATATTAATTTAAGTAATTATTTTAAATTTTTATTTATAGGCCATTGATATGCGTAAAGATTGTTGCATTTTGTATACAAACCGTGCATTAACATATAATAAATTAGGTAAAGGAAAAAAAGCTCTTTATGATTGTGAAATGGCTTTGGCGTTAGATAAAAGTTCTTTAAATGCGATGTTATACAAAGCTGTTGCTTTAAGTCTATTAGGGAAAAACACAGATGCAAAAAACATGTTAGAACATGCCCTTGTAGAACACCCAGACTGCTTATACCGTATAACAGGTAAAATTCAATACACTGAATATTTATATTTTCCGTCACTATAGCTACAAATACTATATTTTTAATAAATTTATTGGATAACATAAAATAATATTTTTGGTAAAATATTTTATTTATATTTTCTAGAATATCAGAAGAAACTAAATTTGAAGTGATTTGTAAAACATTTTCGAAATATGACTAAGAAGTGGTTTATTTTAAAATAAATATTAGCCAAATTGTGCATTTATTTTCTTTTAGATATATGGATAAATTACACGTTATACTATTTTCATTAATACTATTTTTTATCCATTTTATTGCTTAATTTCTTTTTGGTTTTTATATTATTTTTTAAATAAATGTTTATTTGAACGTAATCATTAATATAATTATTGTTGTGACCACCACTATAGATTGTAAGAAATATTTGTATGTCATTTATTAATAGGTGTTTTCATATGAAATGGCTAAAAGCCTGTAGACTACGAAGCCTCTTAATATTTTAATTTTAAATTAGTGTTGATTGTTGTAAAGTGAACGATAATCTAGTATTGAAAATTGTAAATGTTTCGTCTGTTCTTAAAACGCATAATAGGTGCATTCACCTATATACATGCTGGATGCTTGCTCAAACCTTTCCAGGTTTCAACGACGACGACTTGACTACAACGGGCGTGAAAGGTGGTGCACGGTGGGCGTTACTTGTAATCGAGCGCTACTAAATTAGTAGCGCTCAATTACAAGTAATCATGGAGGCGTTACATTAGTAGCGCTCAATTACATTGTCATATATTGGTTTAACAACAAGTAATTTTTCTAATTATTTTAATAAAAAAACAGAATTAAAATCCATAGCAGTAATTAGCATACCATACACTGAGAATTTTAGCTTCGATGCGAAGCTGAGAAGGTATTGGTTTTACTATGATGTGTTATTTTTTGTGTCAGTGACGTACGGTTGCCGAGTCGGTAAAACTTATGTCTTACGCGCTTGGGGTACAGGGGAACCCGCGTATGGCAAGAAAATTGTTTGCATTTTTTCTTAATTCTTTTTATGTTAGAATAAATTTTCAACTCGTTTGATTTCTATCTCATTTAGATTCAATAACTTCAATAAAGATCAAGGATCCCATCACTTTAGTCGCCCCATGCGAGAAGAAATTTCTTATTCATATTAAAATTATTTTACTATATTTTAGATTTTAGCTTCGATGCGAAGCTGAGAAGGTATTAATTTTACTATGATGTGTTTTTTTTTTTTTTATGTCAGTTGCCACTTTTACTCAGCTCTCACTGGACCGATTTCTTTCAAAAATACGTCAAAAGATGACAAATCGTATCTAGTTGGAGACATTACCCTTAAAAATTGAAAAAAATTCCCTCGTTCCCCGCAAATGGGGGAAATATCCAAAAAAATTACAAATTTAAAAATCGCTAATTTTCGAAATTTTTCCCCTTTTTTTTCTTAAAACTTCCATAACTTTTTGAAAAATCAACAAATCAAACATAAATTTTTTTTCTACTAACCTTATTTATTTCCCTTTCGTTTGATATCATTTTTTTGAAAATCTAACACTTAACCTGCTCATGGGGGGGATTTAAAATAGCAACTTTTTTACAAAAACTAACTTTTTCAACTTAATTTTTGAAAATGTTCCGGAAATACTGGGTCCTTTAAACATATATCAAATTAAAGCTTATTTTATGTACTATAAAATAAAAAAAAAATTTGTCCCGACACTTTATCTTCTGCATGTAAACATCTGCCGTAGTTAAAAAAACGCTATTTTTGTGTTAAAATTTTCGATTTTAAATTTTCAACTTAAAAATGCTATAACTTTTTGAAAAATGTATATATCAGCACAAATTTTTTTTTCTAAATACATTATAAGTACATCTTTCATTTGACATACTTTTTATTATAATTGGACTAATTCCCCTTATATAGTGTAACGTGACAAAATGTGAATTTTATGATATAGATAGATTACTGTTTTGTTTTGCTAATGGACGCGCGTACGTTATATCCGGCCGTGTAATCAGAAAACTGTAGTGTTGCTGTCAAGGTGAACGCTATACACACAAAATTCTTTATCAGTTTAACAATCGTTTCCTATATGACACATACACTGGCTACCACTGTCCATACCTGTATAATTTTAATATTGTTCATATTTTATCTGTTTTATATTTTGTAAATCGTGAAGTCGATACCCTCTCCCAAACGTGTTCGTCGTCGTCGTCGTTGTGTCTCGCCCGGTGTGTAGTAATTTATCGTGATCTCTTCCCTTTGAACCACCGTCGTGGTATGTTTGCTGTGTGCGTGCAACCAATTATAGTTTCTTTTTTTTCGTGAGTGTCGTTCATTTAATAATGCACTAATTCAACAAGGCGTCGGCCATTTCTTTTATTTATTTAATATAATGTATTGAGCCTCTTTTTCTTTTATAAATTTATTTTTTATGAGCTATAAATAATTTTAGCATTGCTGGTTATAAGGTTATTGGTCAGTGGTGTGTCATGTATATTTAATACATATCTATATATTATTCCCGCAGTGCCCAAGTACGGTCCGGCCGGCCAGATTACAGAAATTATCCGCCGCGTCCGGAGTACACGGACTTGTTCCGATGCGGAAGACACTTCATGTGATATTTAAAAGTTGTAGATTAAATTTTTTTTGTGTCTTAATAATTGTTTTTTTTTCTTTTTCTCTTTTGTCCCTTTCTTTGCAGAGTGGTTTTTGCCTTCGGGTTTTGTCCACTATTAACTTAATTGTAATAATTTAATAATAATAATAAGTCCCCTTAATTTTCTTAATCAACAAAAATCTTTTTATTGCGTGAATATCTTCAATATTCACGTGTATCTTATTTTTTTTCCTTTAAATCATTCTCTCTAGTTTTAAGGTAACGGTCTTCGACATACTAAAGTATGTCCACCACTGGTGACATCAAATAAACCTATTTGTTATGGTTACAAGGTATCTGCGTAGTATAGTCTACAACAACACTTTATATTTTAGTATATAGATATATATATATATAATTTTTTTTAATTCACTTTATCTCATAAAAATGCATATTATTGGTTTTCTTATTATTTTTTTTTAAATTTTTTTTTTCTCTATTAAATCCACTTATGGTCCGGGTGTTGTTCTTTTCTGATCAAGACCCTCGCCTAAGTGGTTGGCGACCCGATTTCCTTTTGCAAGGGAGCCATGAGGGTGGCGACTCCACAATCCGTTGCGTGGCCCAAGTCGTCACCTCTCAATAGGGGCCGTTCAAAACTTGAAATATTGTAAAAAACATAGATCTTTTTCAACTGAATTTTTGAAAATGTTCCGGGAATACTGCGTCCTTTAAACATATATCAAATCAAAGGTTATGTTATATACTATCAAATGAAAAAAAAAAATTTGNGGTTATCTTATATATTATCAAATAAAAAAAAAAAATTTGTCCCGACGACCTATCTTCTATGCGCAAATGGCTACCGTATTCAAAAATATGCTATTTTAACAAATTATTTTTTTTAAATTAAACACTATCTACAGATTTGCATCGAAGCGTTTTTTATGATAGTGATTTTAATCACTGTCAGATATTATCTATACTGGACCCAACTATGCCACGACCCCACTGTGCTGGTTTTTTTACTCTATTTGTGTGTGCTACTACTAGACTATAATATTACAAATTTTTTGATACATATTGCTATATGAATCATTTCTAAAAAAATAATTGTTAATTTCTCCTGAATTAATAATGCATTTTTACAATTATAATCAAATTTTATTATACGCTTAATTAAGTAAATCTTTTTAACAACTTTGTTTTGATTGGTTCATTTAGTTAAAGTAAATCATTAAAATTAATTAAGTTCTCAATATTTCAATTACAGAATCTTTTCAACAAACAACAAAAGTTCCTAGGAAATTATTACTATTACNCAAAACTTACTAGGAAATTATTACTATTACTTCTATTTAAGTTATCTATTACGATAAAAATGCAAAAAAATATTGAGCTTTTCTGATAAATTTACAATAAATAGTAATTATAAAATATTCTGACTGCATATTAATCTTAACGATACAATTTTTTTAATTCTCATCAAAGTTTCTATTTGATGATGTCAATTTCAAACTTGCCATTTGAGCTAAAAGTTATGGTAAAATAAATTTTTTTTAATGAGTTTTTCTGATAAATATACAGTAAATAGTAATTATAAAATTCCTGACTGCATATTAGTCTTAAATAAATATAGTTTAAAAAAACTAAAAAAACACGCTTTTAAAGCACATCGAACTAAAAAGTTCAAAATAATTTTTAAAATAAGCTTAAAACAATAATGAACGAATAGTACTAGTATTATTGTGAAAAAAGCGTCAGACGCTCAATATACAAAAATATGGCATAAAGCACCCACACTTTTTTTCACGCTTATATTAGTTTCACCTGTATGTATGTATGTATGTTTGTAACTCTCCAAACGCCACGCGTTATCGCGTATCCCGTCGTCTATGGCCTTGAGACTAGACTGTCGTAACGCATTCACTCCTCCCCACGCCTCGCTCACCACTCGACGGCACACTATTCCTATACAAATTTATTTTTGGTTATCGTACCCGTACACGCGTGCTTGTCATCAATATTATATATATATAAACAAATTTTTATTTTGACTGACCAATAACGCCCGCGTCTAATGCGCCTTACGTATATATATTCCTACCGCCGTTTGTACCTCAGGTATAACGTTAGTCCGACCCGCCCGCCCACAAAACACAGCTATACCTAGTGCATGATACGTTTACGTACTTAAGTCGCATTATTTGTATATATATATATATATATATTCTAATTACTATTAAAATTAATATATTAACACGATTTATTCTAATTAAGAGATATAAAGTATTCATTCCGATTACGAGGGATGATTTCCGTATCGTCATTTTTCGTCACTACCTCCACGTTCCGGGAGTGAGTAATTTACACTCCTGCTGCTTTCCTTGGATGTGGTAGCCGTTTCTCAGACTCCCTCCCCGGAATCGAACCCTGATTTCCCGTTACTCGTAACAACCATGATATTGATAGTAACTACTATCATAACATGAAACTAAAAAGTAAAATATAAATATAGTTTAAAAAACTAAGAAAACACGCTTTTAAAGTACATCGAACTAAANGAAAACACGCTTTTAAAGCACATCGAACTAAAAAGTTAAAAATAATTATGAACAAAAAATACTAGTATTATTGTGATAAAAGTTGTGATAAAAGCGTNGTATTATTGTGATAAAAGCGTGGTTGCTTTGTGTCATATTTTTCGTATATTGAGCGCCCGACGCTCATGTTATGATAGTAGTTAATATCAATATCATGGTTATAACGGGTAACGGGAAATCAGGGAGTCTAAGAAACGGCTACCACATCCAAGGAAAACAGCAGGTGCGCAACGTGGAGGTAGTGACGAAAAAGGACGATACGAGAATCATTCCCCGTAATCGGAATGAATACACTACATATCACTTAATGAGAATAAAGTGTATTAATATATAAGTTTTAATAGTAATTAGAATATATATATATATATATATATATATATATATATACATGTAAAGACACATAAGTACGTTAACATATCATGAACGAGGTATAGCCGTGTTTTGTGGTCGGGCGTGGGGGGAGGAACGTTATACACGAGGTATATACGGCGGCAGCGGCGTCAGTTGTAGGGATATATAAATGAATATTAACATATACGTATATATAAATATTAATATATATATAAGCATATATATATTAATATTAGCGGTGGCGGTAAGAATATATGATCTTCGCATATTATTGCGGCACTTTCGCCGGCGTCGACGACGCGATGTCCGGCGTGATCCTCGTGCGTCAAAAGGTTAGCAGCGTAGATGACGACAGTCCGCGAGTGCGGATCGGTTTGATGACGTTGTCACTTTGACAACGAGAAGAAGACTACGAAATCATTAACGGCGGGACGTCGTCGGCCGTGCGGCACTTGCTAGACTTGGCACCGCGGTGTATAACGCGCGGTGTTGGTCAGACAAATACTCATAAAATAAGGCGACGGCTGATAAAGGTGGCCTGAGTCGTGGGGCATCGTGTATAACGAAACGACGCGGGGCCGTGTCAATAGAGATGTTAAGTTCGTGAACGAATAGTTCATTTGAACTATTCACTTTGATGAACTATTCTGAACTGTTTCAGTACCTGTAACTTAACAGTTCACAGTTCGAAAAAATTGGTAGCAATGTATAAATGAAATAGTTCGCGAACTTCTTTCAAAATTCTCTGTGGTTCGTAGTTCGAAATTCTGTAAATGGTAAACAGCTGTTTACAATTAGATAACAAATAAATTATATTGTTAAAATGTTACACGGTTTTTAACAGTTTAACAATAAAATAAATTCATACAATGTACAAATATTAGATCAGATTTATGATTTAACTTATGACTACTGGTCAATATACCACCTTGGATTAGGTGATAATGACAACATGAGCCATGAGGGTATTGATAATATTTTTTTCTTAGTTTATGATGTTCAACTACAATTTTGATAAGCTTTTATTTTCATCGTGTATATTACATAACCTCCACAAGTTAGTCCTCGCTGTTTAACTACCTACTCTAAGAAAAATTCAATTTTGGATAGTGGATACCAATCAAGTAAATTTTGTAAATACCTAGTTTCTAACTTTTAAATGTTTTTTAATTAATAAAACTTCTTATTTTAAAATACTTAAAGAATACAATAACAAAATTAAGTAGTTGTTTATTCTAAGTTATTATGCAAAAATATTAGTTGTGATGCTTTTTTTGTATCCAGGCGGTTCCTTTTTAATGTAATAATCTGACCAGCTTCTGAAAATAACCTTTCGCAAGGAGTACTAGTTGCAGTCACAAAAAGGCGCTTCATAACAAATGTATGTAGATTAGGATATATATGTTTTCGTTCATGCCACCATTTCAAAGGGTCATCTTGACGTTCTATTAATGGTTCTTGCATATATTTATCCAACTCTATAATTTCGGATGCTGTTAATGACNCAACTCTATAATTCCGGATGCTGTTAATGACTTAGTAGTTCTGTATTTTTCTACTTTTTCTTCATAGATTTTCCATAACAGAAATACTGGAGGAGATGGAATTGATGTAGATGTAGAAGGTGTTTGTTCAGTANGTTGATGTAGATATAGAAGGTTTTTGTTCAGTATTGTCTAATGAACTTGATGGTAAGCGAATACTTCCTATACGTGTTCTCAAAATTGAATATGCATTTTTAAATTTATCATCGTTTGAAAAACCATATTTCTTGAATCTAGGATCTAGAATTGAGGCTTGAGCAATAAGTTCATTTTCTTCAATATCGCTAAACCTTTTCCTCAACTGATTATTTAGTGATATTGCCATTTGGTGAACTTCATTAGGCAAATGTATGTTATTAACGTAAGTTTCCATAGTTAGGGACATGGAACTAACTAAAACTATTAATTTGGAAATTGACACTGTTTTTTCAGAGCTCACTTCAATTGTTACTTCATTAAAAATTTGTAATACGTCAATGGCCTTATCAGCTACATCCCATTCTACCGGGGTCAAAACTTCAATATCAGTTTGTAAAACGGCTAATGTTGAAATTACAGCGTCTTTCATGAAAACAATTCTCTTCAGCATATCAAATGTCGAATTCCATCTGGTTACACAGTCTTGTTTTAATTTTAATATTAGTAGGCCCATTCGAGTTAATGTGGAATTAAGTTTTGCCAAAGCATTACTGCTACGTTTAAAATACTCAACTATTTTTTTTACTTTAGCTACCATTACTGCAATATTCTCAAGAGAGTGTTGAACAATGAGATTTACCAAATGAGCAAAACATCCTAAATGCCGATAATGTAATTGACGTACAGCAGCAGTAATATTTGCAGCATTGTCAGTAACAATGGCTACAATTTTATTACTAACCTTCCATTCAATAGCTAATTTTTTTAAAAAGGCAGCTATATTATCTGAAAGTGTCGTTGGTCAAAATGTTCACAACCAAGACAGACAGAACACATTTTACCTTCATCATTAATAAAATGAGCTGTAACTGCAATATAGCTCCTATTATTAATACAAGAGTCCATCCATCTGTTGTTAATGACACTGCATTAGCATTTTCAACTTTTTTTTTTAAAACTTCTAAAGTGGAATTGTATAATCTTGGAATTAGATTTTTTGATACAGTCTGGCGGCAAAGAAGCTCATATGCAGGGTTTAACATTTTTAATAAATTTCTAAATTCCTTATCGTCCACTATAGAAAACGCATAGTATCTATATTATTAAACAAAATATTAAAATAGTGGTGTTGTAATGTAATAAGCTAATATAACCTTATTTGCACCAGTAACAAAACTTCTATAAAACATATACATGTATATATTATATAAAAATTGTGAATGTTTGAAAATATTTAAAAATTTTAAAACCAGTAAGCCTCTTAATTATATTAACACCGTAATAGTTTTAGGTAGGATATAATATTAATTTAAAATAAATTTATTAATTTTCTTTTTGTTTCTAGTCAAATTGTATTTATACTTTTAATATGAATAAAATAAAAATATGTAGTTACCCTTTAACAATCATTTTTGTAACTTGCTCATCAATCTGCTTTGATCTACTGACTGTCATAGGTTTTTTATTCTGCATAAAATGCATAATGCTGCTTTGTGTACGATTAATATTAGTGGAACTTTTAGTAGGTTATTAGTAGGTTGGCTCGCATTACTTACACTAGTACCACGAACATTTAATGTTTCAAATGATGAACCTACTCATTTATTCATACAAAATAACAGAGTTTTAATTCAAATATATACATTTAAATTGATGAAAGAAAAATAAAATTAAAAAATAATTTATCAAAAATACCATGATTTGTAGGATCGTCCACAAAATTTTCATCGCTATTTATTTTTTCAATTTTGAAGGGTAATGTCTTCGACTAGATATGATTTGTGATCTTTTGACGTATCGTTGAAAGAAATCCGTTCGGTGAGACCTGAGAAAAAGTGGTAACAGACGCAAAAAAAAAAACACATCATAGTAAAACCAATACCTTCTCAGCTTCGCATCGAAGCTAAAAGGAAAATAGGAACGAGAATTTCTCTGAGGAACTTTAAAATTTATTAAATTCAGAAGACATGGTGAATCAATATTTCCATTCAGCAATTCATTTAGAAATTTAATGCCTGCAGCAACTCTACGATCAGTCAGTGACGATAAATTAAGGTTGTTTGCAACTGGAGAATAATCATGAGGTTCATGTTGGATACCCAATATAAATCCAGTATGCCGCAAAAATCTCCGTTGTACCCTTTCAATTTGGGTGGCATCAGATAAGGAATGAGGGTTCCAAACAATAGAACCATATTCTACAATTGGCCGAACCAATGAAGAATATATTTTTAGTGAAGAATTTAGTTTTAAGTTAGCAGCTAATCTTATTATAAAGCCGAGCTTTTTCAACGCTTTACAGCACACCATTTCTATGTGACACTTAGGATCCAATGTTTTACTAAATTTAAAACCAAGGTCAAGTACAAAATCATTAATTCTTACAACATTAGCACCGCAAAGACTATAAGAAAAAATAATAGGTGACCGAGATCTAGTAAATGTCATAACACGACATTTTTCAAAGTTAAGGGTTAAACCTATGTTTAAGCACCATAATGTAAATTTATCTAGGTCATTCTGTAGCATAATACAGTCATCAGTAGAACTTACTTGCAAGAACAACTTCATGTCGTCAGCAAAGCACAAAAATTTATAACTTTTTAAAAAATGTATGGATCAGTACAATTTTTTTATGAGAAATAATATTTTTTAATAATCTCTTTTTCATTCGACATACTTTATCCTTATCAGGATATTAATAAGGAAATAGCAGATAATGTAGCTTTTGGAATAATACACCAATTTTTTAAAATTAAACACTATCTAAAGATTTGCATCGAAGCGTCTTTTTGATAGTGATTTTAATCACAGTCAGATATCATTATACTTGATCCAACTATGCCACGTCACCACTGTGCCGCGACCCCCCTGTGCTAGGTTTTTTAAGTATATATTTATTAAATATCTAACTATTAACCAGCCCACTGGTGGGGATTCAAAATCACTTCTTTTAAAAATGTTCTAATAAACTTCTGACCCCTTAAAATATATCTTTATTAAAGATCTTTATAAAGATTACTCAGTTTTGAAAAAAAAATTAACCTTTGAACAAAGGTGTAAACTGATATCAAATCTAAAAACTTTTTTTAAAGCTTTTAGCTTCTATTCAAAGCTGAAAAGGTAATACATTTTATTGTCGCATTTTTTTAACGATACGCCGTATAATTACAACTAGTGTCTAGATAAAGATATTACCTTTTAAAATTAAAAAAAAATTTCTCTTTATCAGATAAAAAGTTGTATTTTTACATAAGTAACAAACTTTTTTTTTTTAAATTAAACACTATCTAAAGATTTGCATGGAATCGTTTTTTTTTTATAGTGATGTTAATCACTGTCAGATATCATTATACTTGATCCAACTATGCCACGTCACCACTGTGGCACGACCCCCCTGTGCTAATTTCTTTTTTTATAATGTAAATGCCAGTTTTTAATTATGGCATAATTAGTAAATAAAATAGATATAATACATTTAGGTTTTGGAAGCAGTTAAAGAATAGTATATTTTTAGTGTATTTTTGTTTAAAATTTTTGTTTCCACATCTATTGATTCTAAGGTTTATATTCTCAAGCATATTTTTATGTTATTTTAGGTTTTTATTCATAGTACAAATTTGCGTTTGTTATTTTTATACTAGTTCTTGCTATTACTATAGTAGTTTTAGACTATAACTTACAACTCAAACTTTGATACATAGCAAATTAATTAATCAAATGATTTTGATGATTTGCATAGTGATTAATTTACATAGGTACGTAAGTACATATTTTTATAAAAATAACAACAACCGTATTATATAGTAACAAGATTCAGATGCATTCTTAATATCAAAATTTGTAAATTAAAGCTACCATGTTGATATTAGTAAAAAATTATATAGAACTAAAATAAAACTTACTAACTCAAAATATAAATTATAAAACATCTAAAAATTTAAAATATTCAAAATTTTTATTTAATTTCTTATACAATAAGATAATTAGTTCAAAAGCTTGAAAAGTTTAAAAACAATGGATCATCACCAAATAGGTAATTTATTTATTTTTTTACTGTGAATTAATCTAACATAATATCTTAGAAGAAGGCGAATATGAAATACTGAAATCAAAATATTTATTGATGCAATATGAATGGCAGTGTAAACAAGAATTAATTGGTCAAATGGCCGCTCATATAAAAAACCTCCGAGCGCATTTAAACAAGCAAACAGAATATTGTAGATCGGTCGGAAATACTGTTGGATATTGCTTATGGAAAGCCACGCAAAAAATTCATGTTAGTGATATGGTTTTAAGAGAAGTGAGTACAGAGTGTAAGATTTTTAGTAAGAACAAAACGCTTTCATCACATGATTTTCATTTTTTTAGAAGGCATTTTTTAGGTTATCTCAGATGATTTTACACGTTTTAAGCTCTTTTAATAATACCTATCAGTCAACAATATCAGTAACGAATACAGATGAAGTTAATTTTGTGTTTATTGTTATTGGATTGGTAGCCAATATCACAACTACTATTACTGGAAGAAATTTTTTTACAAATAATGTTGATGGTGTAAAATCTGTTAGATTGATAATATCTATTATATCACGTTTGCAATCTCCTCAAGGAAATCAATTGAAAAAGTAAAATAATATCTATTGAAACATTTAATTATTTAGTATTATTAGTAATAATTATTGTTAGTAGGAAAATTGTGTTTATGTAATAAAACTTACATTTGTTGTGGAGTTCATGTGGGGCTTCAAAAACGCGCATTTTTTAATCCTTGATTAGAGTTGATTTAATAAAGCCTATCATAAGTTTAGTATAATTACCAGTATCAAACTGAAGATAATAGTTTAAAAATAAGTTACACTAAATTCAGTATTATCTACCATATTCATAGATTACATTAAGTTTTTAAATAAAATTATAATTTTGGAGATACTATCCTGAGCCAGCATTCCACAGTCATGTAATTTAGAAATAGTAAAGAAATTAAGTTACTTGTTTGTAATAAACATTGGAACTCAAAAAAAATATTATTATGTATACTTTACAAACATTAAGCTATAATTAATCCTTTAATCGATTATCGAACGCCTAATTTTCTACTTCTCGGGTTGCGTGCGATTTTGTATGTGGTTGTTTTTTTACTAAGAAAGATTTGTGAAATGCTAATGGAGAGGAAATAGACTGTACATAAAGTTTAAGGATAGAGTTTATACTAGTATAAATTAAAATTAATTACAACAACAAAACATATGTTTTAAAAAGTGACAAAGAAATATAAAATATTATAGCATATATATCGCTACAATAAGTTAAAACAAATATAATTAAATTAACAAATAATTTATAAACATATAAATAATTAAAGAATAATCCGTCCAATATCGACGAGTTGCAGTTCTAGTGATGTACATTTAATAAGCCACGAAAATGATAGGCGTTTAGATATAAACACAGGGATGCAGGCGAATTGCAAGGCGATTTTATTAGATAGTGTAAAAGAATAGAATCGATTGGGTGATCGACAATGCAAACAACGAATTAAGTAATTAAGGTAATCTCAAGGGTAATTGTTAATAACAACGAGTATAGCCCGAGAGTAGGCAACATAGAAACATATAACAATGGGCTACTAGTGGTGGCAAAATAAATATAAATAAAACAACACACAAGGTGAATGCTAGATTTGTTACCCTTTGTAACTCAATCGAAGCAGATGCACAGTGGTCATAATATCGACTT